GCAAGTTTCTCACCTTCTCATTCTTAACAAACAAAATGTACAGTACAAATTTATTAACTCCTTACTATATGCTGCTAGAAACTATAAGCACTTTATGAATAGCATCTCACTTAATCCTATCAGCAACCCCAAAGGTAGGGAGCATTATTATTCCTGTTCTTTACAAGGAAGATGATGTGGTTTGTCCACTACTGGACAGTTTTAGATATTAGTCCAGGATGTATGACTGCAGTTTTGGAGCTTATAAAACACACACACACACACACACACACACACACACACCCCAAGTTCAGACAATTCCTCACTGGACAGGTCAGGTTGGTTATCCTGCAAACATTTCAAACTCAAAATATCCTACAGTAAACTCACGGTTCTTTGAACACTCATTTATTGGGCATTTACTATGTATCAGGCCCTGCTATCGGTGCTGAGTCTACTGAAGGAAACATCTCTGACTTCACGAATGGACTTTCCATTTAGGGAGACAAACATTAAAACAAACAGGGTCAGTTTTTGATAAACACTAGAAAGGGAAGTAAAACAGGGCAAGTACATAGAGAAATGGAAAGGGTTACATTGCAGATAAAAGAATGGCCTCACAAAGATGTTTATGGAATCTGTGTATATGTTGCCTTACATGGAAAGGAGGATTTTGCATATAATAATTAAGGTTAAGGACCCTGAGAAAATGAGATTATTCAAGGATAATGTTATTGAGCCCAACATAATCACATGAGCACATGAGAGAAACTCAATCACCATCACTGTCCTTGAAGATTGGGAGAGGGGTCACAAGCCAAAGAATGTGAGGCATCTCAAACAAGCTAGTAATGGCCCTCGGATTACAACAAAGAGGAAATGGGGATGTCAGTCCTATAATCATGAGGCGTTGAATTCTGCTAATAACACGAATGAGCAGAAAATAGATTTTCCTGCTTTCCAGGGCCTACAGGAAGAAGCAGAGCCTCTTCAGAACCTTTATTGTAGCCTAGTTAGAACTGTGACAGATTTCAGACCTACAGATTATATTTCCATTACTCTGACAATTTCTCATGACTTGTTTCAGCAGCAACAGAAAACTAATAGAGATGATGTTAAATATGGTTGCCAGGGAAAACTACTCTAATCAAACAACAGGAATGATAGCTGACGTAAGAGCTCCCCAGGCAAAAAGAATTACCTAAAAAGGAGAGGACTTTGAAATGCATAATAAACCACCAATGAGGCAAATGCAATTATACTAAGGGAAGAGCATGGGGGCTGAGATGTAGGAAGTACAGACCAGCCCATTTGGAGATGTGGATTCTACTTTAAGCATGATGAGAAGACACTTCAGCACAAGTTTGAATGTCCCCACAAAACTTCAATAATCCTCAACCGAAACTCTCAAAGCCCCTCACCTCTCTTCTCACTAACTAGTACCACTGTGTGCTTAGGTACTTATCCTGGTGTCTCTCATTTCCAACCATTCCCAGCTTGGTGTGGGCCATGTTAACTTTTAGATGCCAATTAGTCTTCCAACTCAAGTTAGGTACATGAGTCAGAACCAAGGGAAAATTTGGAATGGAGGCATGTGGTAGGCATAATAATTACCTCCCCGCAAATGTCTCCATCAGAATCTCCAGAATCTTTTAATATGCTATGTTACATGGCAGGGAGGAAGTAAGGTAGCAGATGGAACTGAAGTTACAAAACAGATGCCCTTGAAGAGACCTGGATTGTCTGGGTGGGTCCAACATAGTCATAAGACTTCTTTAATGTGAAAAAAGAAGCAAGGATTCAGAACAAGAGGGATGGCATTGTGAGAAAAATTCAATGGGCTAATGTTGGCTTTGAAGATGGTGGAAGTTGGCTTTTAAACTGTAAAGGGGCCACAAACCATGGAATGTACACAACCTCTAGAATCTGGAAAAGACAAGAAATCAAAGTCCTCCTGATATCTGCCAGAAAAGAACACAGCCCTACCAACACCCAGGAGTCCTATAGCTCAAGGAGACCTATTTCAGATTTCTGAGCTATAAAATCATAACACAATAAATTTTTGGTATTTTTAAGCCACTGAATTTAAGGTAGCTTGTTATGGCTGCAATAAGAAACTGAAAGAAGGCATAATTTCTCTAAAACTTGTTGTTTTTGTTTTTATTTTTTTCTTGGAACTATTTATTACTTACTTACAGAAAATGCTACCAACCATCTCATAGGTTTCCTAAAAGCCAGGAAACTGTCTCTATAAGATCAAAATGTAACAGAGGAATTGAAATGTCTTTACAATTAGACAGTCAACTTTTAACATCTAAAGTTCTGTAAGTAACTCTTTAAAGAAAATTAAGTTATAATTGTAGTATACCTTAAACTTTGGAATAAAGAAGTCAAAATTTAATTTTTGTTTTATAATTTTAAGTTCATTCCTTAGAAAATAATTTGGGACACAATCTGTTGTAGCCACAATCTTATAAAATTTGGGGGAAAAGTTTAGTTGTAGTTTTTTTTAGGGAAGAATTACTGTCATTGCTGCTGAGAAATGGATCCTGTGTTTCTTAGCCTTCCTTCCTTCTTTTTTTTTTCTTCTATTTTTTTTTCTTTTATTATTCATATGTGCATACAAGGCTTGGTTCATTTCTCCCCACTGCCCCAACCCCCTCCCTTACCACCCACTCCACCCCCTCCCTCTCCCCCCCAACCCCTCAATACCCAGCAGAAACTGTTTTGCCCTTATTTCTAATTTTGTTGTAGAGAGAGTATAAGCAATAACAGGAAGGGACAAGTGTTTTTGCTGGTTGAGATAAGGATGGCTATACAGGATATTGACTCACATTGATTTCCTGTGCGTGGGTGTTACCTTCTAGGTTAATTCTTTTTGATCTAACCTTTTCTCTAGTACCTGTTCCCCTTTTCCTATTGGCCTCAGTTGCATTTAAGGTAGATCTGCTTTAGTTTCTCTGCATTACCCTATCTTGGTAACTGGAATAAGCCTCATCCATTTATTCAAGGCAGTAATATGTACTTGATTCCTTCCTCTCCTCATAAACCCAACACAGAAAACATCACTAAGTATTTATTCATGTACCATTTCTCGAATTTAGGTCAGAAGTAGCAGCCTCCCTCAGGAGAAAGTAGGGGGACACTTTGGTTCAATAACCATTCTATATTAAGCAACCAGAATTAGTTTTCCATACTGAATATTTCAGATAATTATTGCTCTGTCCTTGAAACTCTTTAATGGTTTTCTATTTCAAAGTCCCAACTTCTTGACATGACTTAGAATATCCTCCAAAGTTTGCCTTATTTCCTAACACTGTCCTCACACTAAACTTTCTTCAGATCTTGAAAAGCATTGGGGATCCTTCTTACTTCAGGTCTTAGTACTGGCCATCCATGTTCCCAACCCCTTCCAAATGAAAAGCTCCAGACTCTGGTGTCTAGCACCCTTTTCCATCCCTTTTCCATCTACCCTCAAGTCCCCACTTACTCCCTTCATGTTGTTCCCAGTCTCCTAAATCGTGAACAACCGGCTAACCAGACCTTGAACTTTTGTGTCAATATACTCATAAAAGAATGAATGTTCTCTCTCCATGAGAGTTCTTCTGCCTGATTTGTTCAATGCTCTGTTTCCATTCCTAGCACTCAGTACCTAGTAGGTGTTCAGTAAATATTTGTCAAATGGTAATTGATCAGCAAAGAGCTGAAAAAAATGTCTGAAATCTCTACAATATTTCCTATGCCATTTTTAGTAACCACTTCCTGGAAAGTCTGTGCTAATAGAGTGTTAAGTGTTTTATAAACTGCAGAAATTTTGTCCTTATTACCAGTTTTCACATTCTTAACATTTTTGCCTTTGAAATAGTATCTAAGATATAGGTGAGAGAATAGAGGATTTTTTTTGCATTTGTGATGCCATTCAAAAATCATTCAACAATTATTTTTTGAGCACCTTCAATGTGTCAGTCATTAAATATGAGAATGCAGTAAGTGAACAAATTAGACATAGTCTAGTTTGATTCTGAGGTTGGATACAGGACGTGTGTATAGGATGAGGAAAGTAAACAGAGAAAAATTATATAAACATCAGATACTACAGTAGTCCTCTTATTTGAAATTTCATTTTCTGTGGTTTCAGTTAGCCAAGATCAACACAGTTCAAAAATATTAAATGAAAAATTCTAGAAATATTCCGCTTTCTTTAACTACAGTATGTTATATTCTATTATTAGTAATATTAATCTCTCACTATACCTAACTTGTAAATTTAACTTTGTGATAGGCATGCATGTATAGGAAGAAATAGTTCAGTATATGGGGCTGGTTACTATGTGCAGTTTTAGGAATACACTAGGGAAGCTTGGAACTTCCCTCCCTAAAGGGGGATCTACTGTTGCAAGTGTGAAAGTCAGAAAGGAGTGTGTTTTTATGTGTGCAATGTTGGTTTTTTATTTAAAGTGATAGGGAAAGCATTCAAGCAGGGACCAAAAGCAATCTGGGAGCTTTTGCTTGGGGTGAAGTTTTGTTTTGTTTCGTTTGTTTGTTTGGTCACAGTAAAGTATGCAAGAATAGGAATCCTGTTTAATAGGTTCCAAGTGCCAGTTGCCAGCACAAGCTCCTTGCACTTGAACAAGTGCTTTTAGCCCCTCCAAGTTTGTCTCCTATCTGTAAACGGACAGTAATACTACAAACCTCCCTGGCTTGTTATGAGAAGATGCTCAGCAAGGAACCCAACACAAAAGGAGAAATTCTAGAATTAGAACGTAGGGTTGAAATTCTAGGCACCGACTCTAGAAATGCCCGAACACCTCAGAGTAAACCCGTCTCCCTCGGGCAAAGCGCGTACCGCCCCCTCTGGCCAGACCGCTTGCTGATTGGCTACTTTACCCGTCCGTCTCTCCTAGCGGAGTCGTCCGGTCCAATCCTGCCGGGTTTCGCAAGTAGGTTCCCAGGTCCGCCGAGTGGGCGTGGCCCGTGACGTTGGATGACGCGTTACGCCACGATGGGCGGAAGTGGCGTTCTCTGTTTTGAAATCGACTCGCCCGGGTCTTTCAAGCTCTTGCCCACGCGGCCTGATTTCCCAGGATCTCTTGACCCCCTCGCTTCCTCAACTGGCGGCCTGGGACCGGGGCCGCGCCATGTCCACCCCTCCGCTGGCGGCGTCGGGGATGGCGCCCGGGCCCTTCGCGGGGCCCCAGGCTCAGCAGGCCGCCAGGGAGGTCAACACGGCTTCGCTCTGCCGGATCGGGCAGGAGACGGTCCAGGACATCGTGTACCGCACCATGGAGATCTTCCAGCTGCTGAGGAACATGCAGGTGGCAATCGGGCGGGCGGGCGGGGAGCGAGCGGGGTGCTTCTGGGAGCCAGGGGGCCGTGGGCTCCTCATTTCGAGGGGCCCTTGAGCAACCGCATTGTGGGGTTGCCTCCATTTACACTTAGAAGTGACTCCCTCGTGAGAGGCGGGAGTGACGCTTTGTCACTGGGTTTCTGGAGCATGGAAGCCATGTTTTCTAGATTGAACCGAGCTCCTAGGTACTGTGTAACTGTACCTTTCAAGGTGCAGGTGGGTCGCCCTCCACTTTCCTCTTTAGACGATTTAGGTTTTTTTTTTTTCCCCCCAGCAAAATTTCGCCTGGGGGTAATGGCCAAGTTTAGGAATTCATAAATCTGGCTACCAATTTTACAAAAACAACAGTGTTTCCTATATATTTTGGGATAACTAACATGCAGTAAGCTACGCAGATTTTATTTATACCTATATTTGTGAAATCATCACCATAGTTAACAATAGTGAGCAACATATCCATCACCCCAAAAAGTTTCCACATGTTCCTGTGAAATAAATCTTTGCCTTCCATCCTCCACCCCGAATAACCACTGTCTTCTGACATCATAAATTAATTCGCATTTTCTAAAGTTTTATATAAAGTGAATCACAGTACGCAGGTTTTTTTTGTCTTTCAGTCTATATCAATAGGTCATTCTTGTTTATTGCCTAGTAGTGTTTCATTGTATGAATATATTACAATTTTTGTGTCTGTTTATCTGTTGGATGGGCATTTGAGCTGTTTCCACTTTGCCACCCGTATAAATAATGCTGCTCTGAATGTTTTTTGTTCACACACTTTGTGTGGACATGTTGTTTCATGTCTCTTGGATAGATAGTTTAGGAAGATAATTGCTGAATCATATGACGTATTTCTGTTAAACATTTTATGAAATTTTCCCAAAATTGTTGAGCTATATATATTCATTAGCACTCCTTGAAGGTTCTAGTTTCTCCTTACCCAAATCAACACTTGTCATTGTATGCCTTTTTTGCTTTACAGATACTACTAACCAGTCGGTGGTCTTTTCCTTATCTTCACATTCTTTTAGGAACAGAGATTTTAAGTTTTGATGGAATCCCACTTGATTTGTTCTTTACAGGTCTTGCTTTTGGTGTCATACCTAAGAAATTTTTCCTAAGTCAGAGTGACAAAGATTTTCTCCTATGTTTCCTTCTAAGAGTTTTATAATTTTAGTTTATACTTGTAGGCTTGTAACCTATAATAAGTTAATTTGGGGACCATGGATTACACTGATGAGAATGGGTCTAAGTTCATTGTTCTGCATTCGGATACTCAGTTGTTCCAGCATGATTTGGTTAAACTGTTTTTAATGATTCTTTTTCTTAACACTGTAAGATGTGTCTGTCATTCTTGTTTGACAGGCTAGGAGGCTGTGATTGAGAAAGTAACTTAGTCAAAGCTAGACAATGGTAAGGTAAATTTGAAATCAAGTCTTCAGATTCTTATTTCTATGAGTGCTCTAAGGAGTGTCTTACTGCCTTTTTTTAATAAAGTAGTTGAGATTTTTTCTTTTTTACAAAGTTTTTTTTCAGTTTTGTAGAAATCGTGACCCTATCAGTAAGTCAGTGTGAAATATAATAAAAAAGGAATAATATAAAGGTAATCTAAGAGAAGATTAAAACTCCTTGGAAATTATTTTAAAAATGAGTAGATTTATAGCTAAAATGACTAAGGTATGGATTAAATGACATCTCAGAATGTAGCATGCCCTATATTTATTTTTAACCTGCTGTGTAAAAACCACTGAATTAGGACAGATAGACATAATAGCTAAAAAACTTTCAAGTATTTTGGATACTTGGTCAGGTACATGATTATAGGAACAATTTCCTATTTTATAGTTAAAGAAGAATTACCCAACATCATACATGACTCTTCTTAATAACCTTTTATATTGCTGACTTGGTGTCAAACAATGTATATTATTAAAAGAGATGTAATTCAGGTTCGTGGCCTATTCAGAAAGAACTCAACTTTTTCCAAAAAGTATTATCAATAACAGATTACTGGTGAACCTGTATTTAAAGCCAATTTGTAAAGGGCTATGACCGTTATTTGTGTGCTTTGCGCTTTGTGAATTCTGTGATCTGACTTGTCTGAAACCCTTTGGGGCACATCATAATTGGTTGACATCAGCAATAATGTGGCCCTTTATTTCCTAAAACGCTAGAAGAGGCAATACAAGTTGACGCTTTTAACAAATAGGACCTGGTTATTTAGTAATACAGTAGTCTTATCCACAGTTTGTTCCTTGTGGCCCATGTGGTTCAAAAATATTAAATGATTATTTTGAGAAAGCAAGAGACCAAGTTTACCTTTTATTACAGTATATTATTAAAAATGTTTTTGTTGGGACTGGGATTTGAATTCAAGGCTTCATACTTGCAAAGCAAGTGCTCTACCACTTGAGCCAATTCTCCAGTCCATTTTGTTCTGTTTGTTTTGAAGATGGGGGTCTTATGAAGTATTTGCCCAGGCTGACCTCAAACCACTATCCTGATCTCAGCCTCCCAAGTAGCTAGGATTACGGGTGTGAGCCACTGCCACCTGGCTTGTTCTTTTTGTTGTTGTTGTTGTTAATCTCATACTGTCTCTGACAAATTGAACTTTATCATAAGTCTGTATATATAGGGAAGAAAAGCACAGTATACATAGATTCAGTACTGTCCAGTTTCAGGCATTTGCTGTGAGTTTTGAAACATTCCCTGTCTCAGAAGAAGGGAATACTATACTTTTTTTTTTTTTAAAAGCATTGAGATTTAAAATGAACTTCTGTATTATTAATCTGTAAGGGTGAAGTGATATAAAATAAACTGCTAAAATTATTTCTAAGCACTTGTTTTAGTGAAGTGGTTCTTTGTGTATTAGATGTCCTTTAACTGCTTGAGAAACACTGTAGACTCTTTTCTGAGAAAAATGAGCAAAAACCCGCATTTTGAAAAATAATTTAGGGGTATAAAGAGCATCTCCTCAGATATTCCTAAATGCCAGATTAAGATTCCCTGTGAAAACCAGCATAACTTTGATTCTGTTTGTTATCCTTTAAAACTTTTATTTTATTTTTGGATACATGATACATTTAGAATTCAGGAATAAAGCAGGACTTTGCAGTGAACATTCTCCCTCCCATTCCTGTCCACTAGATGCCTAAGCCCTCTCCAAAAGCAGTGCTTGTTAATAAATCTTACTACTGTCTAAGCAAATGTGTGTGTATCTTTTTTTCTTCCCTTTTGCACAGATAAGAGTTTATTACATACACTTTTGTACCTTGCTTTTTTCATTTGGTATATTTTGGAAATTACCCTATCTGTAGAGAACATACTCCCTTTTCCTTTTTATAGTTTATAGTATTCCACTGCACGGAAATACTGCGATTTATTAAGCCAGTTCTCTAATGAGAACATTTACACTGCTTTTAATTTCTTACTATTAGGCTACAGCAAATAATATCCTCTACAAATGTGCAAGCGTACCTATAGACTGAATTTTTAGAGATACCTGATGCGTTTATGTAATTAGATAAATTTTGATGAATTATTCTCCACCAGAGCTTGTATTAGTTTATGCTACCATATCCTGACTGAGACTGTCACAGTGGATTATTATGTTTTTGGATCTTTGGTTGTTTGATAGGTAAAACTGCTACTTTATGTTTTTTCTAGTTTGATTAAGTTTGAGCATTTTCTCATGTATTTATGAATTATTTGTATTTTCTAATTGCTTGTTCATATTATTTGTCTATTCCTCTCTTTCTCTTTCCCTCTGCCCAATTTGTAGGATTTATCTGTTTACATATTTACAAAGAAACTTGCTTTTTCCAGTCTGTTAAGTTGGGTTTTTTTTTCTTTTTGAGACAGGGTCTAACTGTAGCTCAGACTAGCCTCGAACTCACAAAACTTCTGCTTTGGCTTCCCAAGTACTGGGATTACAGGCATGAACCTGGCTGATCCAGTCTGGAGTTTTTTGTTACTGTTTTAGTTTTTTCTGGGTTTTTTTTTGGTGGTACTGATTTGAACTCAGGACCTCACGCTTGCTAGCCACTCCACCAACCCTCTTTTGTTATTGTTTGTTTTAATTTTTTACTGCTTTTGTAGTTTTAAGTAGTTGAATTTATTAGTACTTAAGTGGTACCAAATTCTATTTCTAGTTAAGAAGGCCTTCCCAGCTAAAAAGAATTCTGTGTTTTTGTTTCAATTCTTACATTAAAACTAATAATTATGCATTTGTCCTATTATAAAGTGTAAGGTATTGTTCTAACCTTAGTTTTTCCAGAAGTTTGGTTTGGTTTTTATGGTTTTTTGAGACAGGGTCTCCCTGCATACTCCAGAAGGGTCTGAAACTCAAGTAATACTCTTGTCTCTGCTTCCTGAGTGCTGGGATTACAGTGCATGCACCATAACCCAGCCCAAAAGGTTGATTGAATAATTCATTTTCCTCCTCCATTGCTTCAGTTGCAGCTTTATACAAACAGGCCTATTCTTTGTTGTTTTGTTGTTTTCCACATAGCAGACTCTCTTTTATGTATTATCGCCAGACTTTGTTACATTTTTTTGAGGTACTGTAATGTGTTTAGACTTATTTTTCGTACTTACTCGGCTATTCTTTGTTGTTTATTTTTCTCCATGTAGTTTTGAATCAGCTTTAATGCTAAGATCTGTTTGTGCTTTTATTAGGATCATTCAACCTAGAAAGACCAGACATCATTATGATGTTGAGACTTAGGAAGAACATAAAATATCCTTTTTTCTGTTCCCCTAAGTATTTTATGTTTTCATTATCTTGAGAATTTTAAAGTTCATTTCTAGGTATTATCTTTTTTAAATCACTGTTGCAATTGGAGACTTCCTTTTTCATTTTCTTGTTTTTATAGATGAAAGCGAAGCTATTGTGTTCTTTCTTAATTTTGTGCTCACCTCCTTACTGGATTCTTTTATATTTAGTAGCACCTTATCATTCATTTGTAAATAGTGGTGTTGTACCCCTTCCCCCACCCTTCTCTCATTGAATTGCCAGTGCCTCTAGAACAGTGTTGATTAGTAGCATTGGTGGTCTCAGTGGACATCCTGATCTTAGTGGAAATTCTTCTGATGCTCCATATTCATTATGGTGCTGACTTTATAACTGAGATAAATGTATTATAACATATGGAGAATTTTTATTATTTTTTATATTTAAGAATGGTTGTTGAATTTAGGTTAATGCCTTTTTAGTGACTAGGGGTGTGATGATTTTTACATATATGTATATAGTTTTTCGTCCATGTTCATTAGTAAGGTGGTTATTGATGACCTTTTCAGATAATAGCTGTACATAGTGTATGTCAAGATCCCTTGTGTTACCATATATACTGTGTAACATGGGAACCTCGTCTCTCTCGTGTTCACTGCCATCCTAGCTTCTAGAACAGTGTCTGACACATGAAAGCTGTGCAGTAATTTTCTGAATGCATTAATTCCTTTTTTTGAGAAACTGATATTGTATATAAATTCATATTCAATGCTAATAAAGAAATCTTTAATAAAAATCCTAATATTCAAATTTACTGTCAGCAAATTTTAGGAGGATGATTCTTTGCATTTTAAAAAGATGATGTTTTTCCTTTATAAGATTAATCAAAGCTTCTCTTACATGACACTTCTTAATTTTCTTAAATTTTAAGTGTAGATTTACAGATAAAATAACTTACTATTGATTCAGATTATATTTTAAAACCTTCTGTGTTTCATGATAATAAAAATCTAAGTTCCAGCCTTTCTTAAGTTGGAAATATGGGCAAAGTATCAAACCTAGTAAACACTATAATAAATGTAACAAAGTACTAATGAAGATATGATTATTATATCCTTTATTATCTTTTAAAAAAACAGGGATCCATTTAAATTTCTCTCTGAATTGTTATTTAGTGTCTGTGAAAGTTCATAAATGGAGAGTTCCTAAGGAGAAATCCTACATTATTGGGGGATAAAACCTCAATGCTAATGCCCTTAAAATGTTGTGACTAATTGACCCTTTAGTATTCAATCATATTTCTTTAAGGTGTTATAAAGTGGTTTTTTTTTTTTTTTGCAGTACTAGGATTTGAACTCAGGACCTACACCTGAACCACTCCACCAGCCCTTTTTTATGATGGACTTTTTTTTTTAGAGCTAGGGTCTTGTAAACTATTTGACCGGTCTGGCTTCAAACCACAGTCCTCTTGCTCTCTGCCTCCTGAGTAGCTAAGATTACAGGCATGAGCCACCAGTGCCCAGCTATAAACTGTTTTAGGCTTAAGTTTAATGCTATTTTCTTTTAAGCAATTTCAGAAGATTTGTCTCCTTAATTTATAAACCACTATATTGGGATGGGTAATTTGGCAACCAGAAAAGCAAGAAAATAAACTATTAAGTCTATCCCTAGGCTTTAGAGTATGGGCCTTCAGAATCTTTTTTTCATGTTTATGGCTCTAATGATTTTGTGTCGGTTCTTGCTATCTAAATATTGTATCCTGCTTTTTTTCTTTTCATTCCTACCTCATTGTTTCTGAAAAGAAAATAAAAAAGTAAACAGTTCTAGGAAGAACAGACTGATATTCTAGTTATTAAATAATGAATAGCACCTTGACATTAAATCACCTGATTCTAATCCCCAAACTAAGATATGGGTGAACTCCAACAAACTAAAAATCTTGTGTACTAGAAAACATTGTATTTGTCATTTAAACATTAGGATAATTCCATAGATCAATTAATGGGAATAAAATACTATAGATGTATACAAGAAAGGAAGGCTTTATTCATGATTTTTATCCATGCACAAAAAGTGCATATTTAGTTATAAGGTCTAAATAAGAGTCATTTCCATTCATCCGTGATATTTATTATTATTTCAAAGCATAATTTTGGCTTTTTTGATAAAACTCTTGAATTGAAAAATATGTAAATATCCAGAACAGATATGATTATAGTAGTTACTTATAATAATGTATTAATGATTAATGATATCCCAGTACCAACTTATTTGCACACATACCTTCTGTTCATGACTTAAGTAAAACTTTGGCTTTGTATTTTAATATGTGCCTTGAGTATCTTACTTATCAGAGTTAGGGATTTTGAAAATATTTTTGCTACAGCAGCAGCAAACTATTTCTGTTCTGTTAAAAAAAATCCTTAGCTTCACTTTAAAAGAAGAAAACTATATTTTAACTTCCTGGTGAGCTTATCAGCTTGCTGCCTTTATTTATGAGTGATATTAAAGTTGTACATTCTTTTTAAAGGTATACTTCCAATATTAGAGGGGGGAAAGTATTTCAACTATTCAGGGGCTTATCACAGAGTTTCTTGATTACCTGTGAGGAACGGTTGGTTTTATACATTGCTTAAAATTGCTTCTGATTATTAGCTTTATTGCTTTATATAGAAAATACAGATTCTATAGAAAATCTTGATTTGCATTATAATTTTTTTTATTACTTTGTTTTTCCCACGAAGCTACCAAATGGTGTCACTTACCATACTGGAACATATCAAGACCGGTTGACAAAGCTACAGGATCATCTTCGCCAACTTTCTATTCTCTTCCGGAAGCTGAGGCTGGTCTATGACAAATGCAATGAAAACTGTGGAGGAATGGATCCCATTCCAGTAGAGGTGAGTGAGTGAGTGAGAGAGGACCATACCTGTAAGAGGTGAAGTCATGTTGAGACTCTCTTAAATTTTATGTATATTACTTTTGGACAGAAGATGAAAATGTGGTATATATGGGTAGTTCTTTTCACATTAATAATTTCTTATAGACTTTGACTTCCAAGCTGATAGTGATTTTTTTTCAAGTGCTGGGGATCAGGTGATTTTTTTAAATTATTGTCTGTGACAGTTTTTATCTTTGCTGTTAGTATCACCCTTTAATTATTATCAGTGCTTGATTTTTTTTAAGTAGGAGTTTTAAAATGGGTTTCATGAAAGTGCTTTATAGATAAAAGGTTATTTTTCATCATTATTAATATAGATTTTATATGTAACCAGTGGACTCACTCTACTATTTCAAGATGTATTTTCTAAATTTTAATCTTGGGTCATAAATATATCTAGTCAGCTGGATATATGATATTTCTGTAAGTGACCTTGTCCTATTGACGAGTTTTATCTACCACACCAAACATAGCTGAGAATCTTAGATGTTTTCCCACTACCTGTAAACAACAATTTTACGTAATTAGAGCTTCAGCATGTAAGAGATGACATGAGAAAGAGTTAATCTGCAAGAGCCTGGAAATAAATGGTCAAAGATGTGAGAAGATCAGAAATGGGGTCCATGTTGTCAGATGCTGTAGAGAAGTCAAGGAAAGTGGGAAAGCAGAACTGTCCAGTAGATTTTCCTGGACAAAAATTGTTACATGTGAGTATAGCTTCAGTGAAATGGAAGTGGCATGAAGTAAAATCACACTGGATTAAAAATTAAACAGGAAGGAACTTTCTGGAGCCAGCCATTGGATATCAGATTTTGAACAAATGAAGATGGAAAACAAGAGAGGAAAGTGGGATAGAAGGAAGGATAGTTTTAGGGAGCTTTCCCATCTAAATGGAAGAAACTGGAAGATGACGGAGAAAAGTGTAGGGAGAGGTTGGGAAAAGGAAGAATAAATGAAGATGGTACCATAGGAGAGAGGAAAGGAAGAAAGTGTAGATATAACTGTAAGTTTATCTTTGTCCCAAGAATGTGAAGAAGTTTGACCAGATGATTCCTAGTGTGACCATTTAGTCTGGCTTGTTCTTAATATAAGATGGTAGAGACTGGATGATCCCTGAAGCCTATCACGTTTACAAGGGATTTCATCAAATGAACTTCATCTCAAGCTATACATGTTTAATTATAATTCTCTTTGAAGTTTTGTTGCTCTATACAATTTTTGTCCTACTAAAAACATTCTTAACTTAAAAAGTTAAGACAAACAGAAATTCACAGACACTGAAGTTTTAGTTGGCAAGCTAATGATATTTATATAATGCACATCCGTGAAGTTTCTTTCCTTCTAGTGTAGATGAAGGAAAGACTGCCATATATATTTCAATAGACTGTATCTCATGGGGGCAGTAATGATATCTTATTTGATACTAGTTTTTCAGTGTCTCAACCCAATGTCTAACCATGAAAAAGTTCATTGAATGGGTAGGGCATTATTTAATATGTGACAACCAGTGTTACAAACTTTTCCAAAGGAAACCTGAAGGGTAATACAGAGAATGCATTGGAAGGATAACCTTCTAAAACTGTTGTTTCAGACTGTTCCCTGAATTGAAATTTATTTTTAAACAATTAGAAGTATGAAAACCAACCTTAACCAGTCTCTGTACCAGCCTAATGGTAATATTTTAGACCATATTTCTTGGTTCTAACTCCCTTTCATCACTGATAGCAACTTATTCCATATGTGGAAGAAGATGGCTCAAAGAATGATGATCGGACTGGCCCACCTCGTTTTGCTACTGAAGAGAGACGAGAAATTGCTGAAGTGAATAAAGTGAGTTATTAGTTGTACATTTTATATTTCAGGATTCTTGATTTTTGATAAAAATTACTGAGGAGTTTAATGGAACTGAAAAACATAATTTGAATTATAAAATTACATGAAGTTGTTTTTGTGGCAAACTCATCCTGTTTAGAATACAGCCAAGAACTAAAAGGTAAGCAGAAATGCTGCCTGAATGGTCAGGAGAGAGATCACAGAATTCATTCCATGACGCTCATAGCAGAACTCCATCGGCACTCAGTCACAACCCATTTACTTTCTCCTAGGCAGAATTCTACCTTGTGCCTTACAGCATATTTGGAGTAGCAAATGAGAAAAATTTATAAATAGGAAATGTGAATGTCTCAACACATGAGTTAGAAATTGCAAGAGTTATGAAAGCATCATCCTACCCCATCCCCCAAAAAACTTTGACAGGAATATATTTATTGTTAAATACTTTTAAAAGGTCAGAAGATAATGTTCAGATGATTCTCATGAGACATATAATCATAGGGAGAGTTGTCAGTTCATTCTATGGTGGAAACATGACCTAAGCTTACTAAAACCTAGCAAAAATAGGGACAATAAATGAGACTACCAACCTCTTTCTTCATGTACACATGCAGATCACCTTCCTGACATTCTTAATCCTAGTTAATGGATTTCATCAGTGTACTAATAATCCACCTTAGCTAAAGAGGCATTTCTGAGGTATGTGAGGGTAATCCAATTTATATACATTATACAGAAAGTAGTTAACCTTGGCAAAATTTGTTCTCAGATGTCTAAAAGACATTTAATATAATTCAGTACTAGTGGCTGATTCAAATATTACTTAAAACAACAAGATAGTTTCTTTTTGGTTTTTTTTTAACTTTTTATTTTAGATAAATAACATTTCACACAGGTAAAATACAGAAGTAGTCCTATTAAAAGCAGATATAAAATAAGATGCTCTACACCACTATGTTTAATATTTTAGAAGATATAGCCAGTACAGAATAATAACAAATAAGTGTTGAAAAACAGGAGTTATAATAGAATTTACAAGCTTGTTAGAATGCTCAGAGAAAGTCATTTGATAAACAACTCAAGTCTGTAAGAGTTCAATAAAAGCTTAATACAAGATGAATAGAGCTCTTATAATACTCTAGACCAATTAGATTATAAGACTCCATTCCTAACAAGAAATATTAAGTAGATAGGAATTTTATCAGTGATACATGTGACTGACCTTAATAAGATACATAGAGGAAGTTTTGAATAATTAAAAAGAATACATAAAGATCTTGGGAGAACAATAAATAGAATAATGCCAGTCCTGGTTACTTCATGGTTTTAATACAGAACAGTTCAAACCCAAATAGGACTTCCTTGAAAGTATGCAAAAATGATAGGATTTGATTTTGGGGACATGGCTCAAGGGGTAGAGCACTTGCCTAGCATATGTGAGGGGTCCAAATCCCCAGTACTGCCAAAAAAAAAGTTAGGATATTAGTGCAATGCCAATTTAAAAAACCTCCAATTAAGATCCACATGGCATTTTTTCTTGCAAGTATGTAAAAATATCAAAGAAAACTCTGTATAAATAAGAGTAATAGTGCTGGCAGAGTGGCTCAAGTGATGAGTGCCTGCTAGCAACCATGAAGCCCTGAGTTCAAATGCCAGTACTGCCAAAAGAGAAAAAGAGTAATAAAGCAGAATTCTTTGCCTCAGAAATTAAAATCTAATATGAAGCATATTAAAAGCAGTAGGTAACCATGTGATAATGACACAAGAATAGACAGATCGAATAAAATAAGCCAGAAAAACAGCCTTCCTATTGACGGTAATGGTTTAGTGTGACAAAAGAAGGGTTGCATGGAAAATTAATCTCTAAAAATAGAAAAGTTGGGGAAAAATTAAGCTAGATTTATATTACAGAGCTGAAAAAAAGATCTGCAAGCCAAAATACTGAAAAATATATTTCAAAACTCAAGAGAAAGAAAAAAAGGTGGATAGATTTATAAAATAGGATAAATTCATTTTTAAGGTAAAATACAGATTAGGAAGACTGTCTCCAGCAAATGTGGCAGTAATCATTGACTATTACAGCAAAGAATTCACAGCAGGAAATTGGTAGGGGATGAGGAGGAGATTGAGAAATTTAATTTAGATCTTAAAAATAAGTGCTGTTTAGTAGCCTAGAAATAGAAGTCTTATACACATGTGTGAATTTACAGCCTTGTTTTGTGCTTATATCCTGAGTTCTCAGCTGTTGTGGCTCAGTTTCACAGTCAGTAAACCTCCTTCCTGTTCCCTAGGAGGTTCTCAGCCATCTTGGTGAGGAGTGCAAGTTCAAGTTTGTGGAGCAGCTGGGGTTCTTCCTAGTGCACACACCTCTTTCAGCCATTCCTCCACTCTTCATCCTCGGGCCTCACTTGGTACCTTTGACATGGTCACTGTCTCGGTTCGTCATGGCGGTCAGTCCCATGCTCAGTGGCATTCTCCTGCATCCCCTGGTTTGTAGTTTCCTCAGGAAGCCATGGACCACTCTTCCCTCTTAAAATGCACCCACTTCATCTGCTCTCACCTTTCTGATCAGATTTTTTTCAGTAAACCGAATGGTATTTCTGGAAGTCTGTGTGTTTATGTAATAAGAGTCAATATGCTAAATTTTGTTTTCTTATTTATACTTCAAGCAGTAAGCCAGGTTTAAGTGTTTTTGACTTCAGGAAAACAGGTTTTAGTTATATTATTGAACCAGAGGTTATCACAAAGAGACAAGAATCAGTTCAGATGTTTTAAATTCACCATATTCAAAGCCAAGCTCTGTATTTTATGGGAATTACTTCTTTAAAGAGAATTTAGTGAAAAGTCTCTTTTCTTGAGTGGCAGGAAGGAATACTCATCTGATGGCCTGAGCGCTCTCTCTCTTACTTCCTGTGTTTGGAGAAAGCACTGGAGAATAGGTGATGAGCCTCTAATTCTTTCCTTAAAAAAATGTGTAAATTGCATGATAAAAGCGAGAGCACACAGGGAGGGGTGAGGATAGGTAAGACACCTAAAAAACTAGATAGCATTTGTTGCCCTCAACGCAGAGAAACTAAAGCAGATACTTTAAAGCAACTGAGGCCAATGGGAGAAGGGGACCAGGAACTAGAGAAAAGGTTAGATAAAGAATTAACCTAGAAGGTAACACACATACACAGGAAATCAATGTGAGTCAGCTCCCAGTATAGCTATACTTATCTCAACTAGCAAAAACCCTTGTTCCTTCCTATTATTGCTTATACTCTCTCTACAACAAAATTAGAGATAAGGGCAAAATAGTTTCTGCCGGGTAGCGAGAGGGTGGGGGGGAGAAGGAAGGGGTGGGGGGAGTGTAAGGAAGGGGGTCGGGGGAGGGGGAGAAATGACCCAAACATTATATGCACATATGAATGAATAAATAAATACTTAATACTTAAAAAAATATATATAAATTGAATGAAACATAAATTCTCAGTGTTATCGTAGTAATCTTAGTTAGCACTGATAATACATTGTGTTTATTCTTCTCCAACTTCCTTAAACCCTCTACTTCCTTTCTAGAAATACAGGATTAATTTTTTATAATATGGAGCTCATGATCCATTATTTATATATTAATATGTACATATAAATTATTTATTTTTTATTATATTTTGCCTTAGTTGCACACGAATCTGAGTGTTTCTTTGAAAAGTATATTTTAAATAGCTGCCTGTAGATAAAATATCCTAAGCTAACTATTTAATCACATGGATGCTATTAAAAATCTAAGATTCTTTAATTTCATTTGTCAAGTACTTATAAATATCTATTTCTAAATTTAGCTTTTTGACAGTCCTTTGTCTATTATGTAATCATACAGTGTTTTTGTTTTTTTGTGTGAGGTTGGGTCTCACTGTGTAGCTCACACTGTCCTAGAACTCACGTTCCTCCTACCTCAACTTCCCAAGTGCTGGTATTGCAGGCATTTTCCACCATGCCCAGCAATCAGTGCACATTCTTATTGTGCATATAATAGTTTGCTTTTTTTTTTTTGTCAGTTAATATACTTAGTGGAGAGGGTAGAACTTTAAAATTCTCCTATTCTTACGGCTGTGTTTGTAGTCAGCTTTCTGTTACTGTAAGAAATATCTGAGATAAATCAGGTTAAATAGAGGGAATGTTTATTTAAGTTCACACGTTTGAGGGTTTCAAACCATGAGTTGGTGGGTCCCCTTGCTCTGGGCCTGTTGCATGGTAAGAGTGCATGTTTTGGAGGAGGAACACTCACCTCAGTGATAGGTACAAAAGAGGGAGAGAGGAAAAGACTAGAATCCCACGGTCTCTTTGAGGGCACATCCCTCTGACTAAAACATCCCACTTGACCCTACCTGTTAAGAGTTTCCACCACTTCCCAATAGCAGTGCCAGCTGGGGCCAAACCTTTAAGACATGGGACTCTGGGAGTCACTTATCCAAACCATGGCAGCTAGTAACACTAAAACATTCAAAATATTTATTACTTACTATGGTACAGATATGAAAGTGAGTAACTTTTAATCATATCCATGTCTTTTTTTTTTAATATTAAAAGACAATATATTAAACAAAAGGCACCACTCCTAGCTTGTTTTTTTGCAATGGGACTCACTAACATTTTTGCCTTGGCTGATATCTTATCTGTGTTCCTCCCAGTCTCTACCTCCCAGGTAGCTAGGATTGCAGGCATCCACCACCACATCCAGCCCCCATGTCACGTTTTGATGAATCTTTACAGAAACAAAAATATTACATCATATTTTAATAAGTTGGCATTTGATTTTATTAAATAGCTAAATGTGTTTTATGGATCTCTGTAATTGATACTAAAATTACGTTTTTACATTCAATTAAAAATACTCAGAATTTTCTTATGTTTCTTGTTATTTTAAATAAGTAGATTTGTAGACTTTATTTTATCCTCAATTAGTCATTTTCAGATATTACTAACATATTGTATTGAAATTATACAGATAAGTACCTTTCATTTTTCTTCATATATCCTGGATTCCTTAAACCCTGCTACCCAAGAAAAGGATGAATTCTTGCTTCAGACTATGCTTTGGAGACATAAGAATGAGTTTTATTTTACATAAAGCTATTCTGTTGAAGGTAAAATGAAATTGATAGGTGTAGTGGGTACTATTTACGGGGCTGACATATAATTGTGTCCAAGCATTTAAAAATTAAGGCATTTTTGATCAAATGTCACAGCCTTTGTATGAATATTCAATTACATGGTATGACTTAGTATAAACATATTTTGTAAGTATCTACTCTGCTTGCACAGTCACCTGTTAATGTAACAAATTATGCACAGCTGATGGATTTTGAAAATAGCAGCTGTCAACCTCTGTTAAAATCAATCAGTGGCAAGATTATATATATTAAATCCTATATCGTGTCATGAAAATTTATTTACAATGTAGCCACTAATAAGCATAACTGTCAGCTTTGCTGCTGATAGTCCCATGATGTGTTTTGACTGTAGATGTTTTTACTTGTGTGCTAATTTTTTAATGTAAAACCTTGTAGCATCTTTGAGAGAAACTATCCAAGTACCTAATAATATATCGTACTTTAAAAATGCCTAGATTTCCGTATTATCATGAAAATACTTTTTATTTTTTGGTACTCTACTTTTCAGAAATTTATCAAGCTTTAAAAAGAAAAAAGTCTATAAGAATTGTATTTACAAATGAGCCTTCAAAGTAGTCTTACTGGAAGATGTTGCATTCATTCCAGGGACACTGCCATTTTTGGAGCCATCTGTAGATCCCTTTACTGATTATAAAGTCAGTTTATAACCACCTCAGAATATAACGTTATTCCTTCTAGTTACTCCTTAATTTTTACTGAAATCTGGCAACTGAGCTCTTTCACTGGACTTAGTCTTGAAATGGTTTTCAGCTGTTCCTAAAATGTAAGTCCCTTCTTCCCTTCTCTTTCTCCTTTGTCATGGCACGGTTTTGTCACCACTGAAGAGTTCATCTCTTCTGCTGCAGTTTCATCATGTCTCTTGCCTTTCAAGAGTTTTCATGAGTCTCATTGCCACCATTAAGCCTAAGGCGTCCTTCCACTTTTTGTTCATAAACAGTTTGGCACCCAAACAAAGATATTTTTGTTTTCTGACCTTTTTAATCAGAGGCAGTGTCTGTCTTTTGGAGTTCCATAACTTCAGATGTTTTCCCTCTGCCATACTTCTTACCAGGTCTGGTTTAGTCACATATACACTGTCTTCCTCCTACTTGATGTTGAAGTGCTAAACTTTTGAAAGTAATCGTATTCAAGAGAGGTTGCAACTTAGTAGTTTGAAAAAAAAATCTGTTTTTTTTAATTGACTCACAATATTGCTCTACGTTTTACTCTTACACCAGTAGCTCTTTTTCACATCCCTCCTGAACAGTTGGAATTGTGAGGGAAATCGTTGTAACTGATGTATTTCACAAGTAGGAGTGATGACTCAGAGATAAGATAGATTTTAGCAACCATAAAGAGCAGCCATCTTGGAATAATTTCACAATCATGAAGTAGTTCACTAAGACAAACTGACTGGTTTTCATTGTGTGACTGTATTGCTGACTGTCATCTGTGTGTGTACAGAAAGTACAAATGGAAGGGACCTTAGATTCTTAACCCATTTCATACACAAGAAAACTAAAGAGAAGGAAATTTAACAAGTTGGAGACCAAGTTAGAACTGGAATAGAGCTTGCCAGCTTCCCAGACTAGCACTTCCTTACATTCCCTTACCTTCCTTGGTGTTGCTTCCACCCTTAATGTCCACCAAGGAAGAAGTGTCAACTTCTTGAAAAGGCTTTATAGGCTTAATATTTCCTAATTTGTACCAGATATCTGTGTTGACTTTGCTAAGTAATACACATATCGTGACAAAACTTAGAAGATCAGTCCTCTGAAAACTGAGCAGTCTGAGAAACTAGAAGTCTTAATTGTGTCTCTTTCCCCAAAGACTGTGTTAAAGTGAGCCTTAGAGTTAAGCCCTGTGTGCTGTGCATGTTTATCTGTGTTGTCCTACTTCTGTTTTCAAGTATGAACTAGTTTTTAATATTACTGATTATTAAGTTGTAAATTGTTCTTCTATTTCTCAGTGAGATGGTTTTGATGTTTCTTTTTAGCTACCTTCTTTCTATGACTTCTAACTCTACAGAGAAGTAATATAAGCAATTTACTTAATCTTAGTTTGCTTTTTAATGAAATCAAAATTAAGATTTTTTAGACCTCTTAAAATGAGCATGTGCTAGTTTACTTGGAGATAGTTTAAAATAACCTTAAAAATAATTTAAGTGTTGTATCTCTAAATGTTTCCAAAATATTATTGAATAATTTTTATAAATTTTATAACTAGTATACACTCTAACCAAAAGCTCTCTCATTTTACCTGTTTTACCTAAGCAGATATTTGTTACATAGGACTTGAAGAAAGGATACTTAAGAAGTTTACGAGGCATAGTCTAGCAGATCCCAAGAACAGAGATGCAGAGATGCATGCCACATGCATTCCAGGCATGCAGCAAACCTCACTCCTGACGATGATTGCATTTGGCACAGGGCCATTTTGTTTTCAGTTTTTAGAATTGGAAGTAGGTTGCACCACATGCTATGGGCAATAACTTCTGCCACATTTCTTAAAGACTAATTGCATGAGGCATTGTATTTTTATTAAACTTTATTTTTTATATTGAGAGTTTATATTCTGTGCTTACCATTAACATTTGTTGAATGCTTGTTTACATTCCAGGCCCTTGTCTCACTTTATTCGAATTAAATCATTTAATTTTCCTAAGATAACTCTTGTGAAGTAGTTTCAGTTATTACCTGCAATGTTCTGAGGTGAGGTTAAATAATTTGGCCAGTGTTCCTCATTTATTTTTACGGAACAAGCAGAGTATCTGAGCACCAGAGAAGCTGGCTCAAGTGTGTGCTACTAGCCATTGTGTTCCATTGCCCTTAGAAGATCTAAACAATTTGGTTTTACAACAATTAAATGTTTAACTTAATTCTTTGATGATGGAGGTGGAGGGGTACAGAGATGGGTGGAGGATACTGAATCGGAATTGGATGCCTAAAGAGAGTTTTTGAGACCAGAAAAGGATTGAGACTTTCTGCCCTACAGGATTGTTTAGCTTATTTTCTGTCTGGATCATTAAAGTCCCAACTTATGACATTTTAATCTTCTAACTTCATGGTCTATATTTCATGTACCATTTTTGATAAATTCTTTAATCTTCTAACTTCATGGTCTATATTTCATGTAACATTTTTGATAAATTCTTTTGTTTCTGCAGAAACTCAAACAGAAGAATCAACAGCTGAAGCAAATTATGGATCAGTTACGAAATCTCATCTGGGATATAAATGCCATGTTGGCAATGAGGAACTGAACTGATATTTAAATTCTCTGCTACACGTGTTATGTCATTATTTTTTCTCTTAAGTATTTTTCCCTTTGGAAGCACTATTTATTTATCTGCTTTTATTTTAATTGCGAGAGCTAAAGTTTCTTCTTTTACTTTGTGGTTTTCCATTAAAGTATTCAATAACTGCTTTTTTCTAATGCCATTGATTCATTGAAAGATTATTATAATAAAATTTGATAGGGTTTGTGTTTTGGTTAATCTTTGTGAATTGAATAATTGCTTTTTAAAAGCAAAATAAACTACTGTAAATAAATTTTTTAATTCAGCCAATGGTTTTGCTCATTTAATTACCCTTTTAAAAGAAAATTAAAATTTAAATATTCTTGCTGATTTGAGTATCAACATCAATCAATCTGAGACGCAAATTAATTGAAATTAAAGATATATGTTACCATGTTAGCTCAATTTTTAAAATTCAGTTTATTCTCAAACCAATTAAAATGAGAAAGTAGTTTATTGCTATGAAAGTTACTTTTATTATGTCTTCAAGTATTTGGTTATAATTGAAATGATGTCTGTAAGGGAGGAAATGTAATTTGAAGACAGCACAAAGTAAAGTCACAACTTTGTGTTACCTATCTCAGGTGGCAAGGGACAAGCCAAACTGTACAGTCATCTTTAGACTGCCAATTTTGTATTTGTCAAGGCAGTTCTGAGCAAGCCCAGTGTTAGTGGGATGGAGAGTTGACTCCGCTCAAAGGGAAGCTCTTCAGAGCCATAGAACAGAAGTAAAGATACATGGATACTGACAACTTCTATAACAAAAAAAAAATGTTTTGACCTACAGTTCTGGTGTTTCAAATATACTCAGCTACTTAGATCATTTAAAGAGTCACAAATTCAACTCTTGGAGGGAATGTGGTAATTGTGTCCTTTGAGCCTTGATAGAGGATATAATGATTATAGAGATAATCAATGATACTGATTGTTATGGCTACATTGCTGCAAATCAGTAGTCCCAAATTCTGGAAAGGAGGGCTAGTTTGCCCACTAACAAGTCTACTTAAGACCAAATTATGAGCATTTCAACTTTTTCTTGAGGGAAAGCATGTTCACAGATTGAAGAACAAAGAAAGGTGAACTCAATTGTAATGTGTGTGTCCTTGGGCAAGTTAATCTGTTTTCTCATCTGTAAAATGATGAGATTAGTTGTCTCATATTCTAGGTTAGAATTTTGGTTGCAGATGTTAGAAGCTCAGTTCAAAATTAATAAAGCCTCAAAATGGATTTATTAGTTCCTGTAGTAAGAAAAGATGGTAGAGAAGAGCTCAGAATCAGAAATGTGAGAACCAAGGCTTCAGGGATTGGAGCCAAGATTTAATGCCTCCAAGATTTTTATGTTCACCCCTAATTTCTGCTTATCCCTGATCCATTCCCTGTCACTAAAGAGAAGCTTTCTCCAGATGGTAGGAAAGATTGCTTTCCACTGTCTTACTTTGACATCATTTCTGTATCCTGGCCACAGAGGCTGTACTGCTTTTCCACCTCTAAACTGAAGAATCCTACAAGACTCAGAAAAGCTTCTGTAATATAACCAACCAAGGCAGCTGTTATGTAAATGCATAGTATGACAGGACAACCCAGGTTGTAAACCCATTCCTGTGGCCAGGACTTGAGTTTGGGAGTCATGGAAAAGTGTACTGTGCAGGTAACAAATATTAGAAGAAAAAAAAAAAAACATAAGTTCAAGAAAAACTGATAACCACAGTCTACTCAGATATAATAGAAGGTATTCAATCTTCAAAAATCATATACAGAAGACCAATTCCATCATTCACCATCACAGAGACATAACTAGTCTTTTTATTTATTTTTGTGGACTTCTGTGCTAACATTTTTCTTTGCAGCTGTTTCTCTGCAGCTGTTCCAATTAATTGCAGTGCTAGCTTGTCAGGTCTTGGCTGGCCTAGGTTAAAGCACAGATAGGAAAGAGCTAAGAAAAAAATGAAAGCTTTGGCATTCTGGTAAGGATATAATGTTTAAAATGATTTGGCAATCAATGGCCTTAATCATTCAGACAGTAGATCCCTTGGCACAATTACAAGCCAAAATGTGTTAACTTGACATTTTGATGTAGTTCCAGCTTGAGAAATGTATTTTCTTTACTGAAATTCCCACTGAAGTTGAAGCTAGACAGAGGCATTTTCAGCTATAAAATGTGTACTTATCCTGAAGCCTCAAAGTGTTTGTTATCCTAAGTAGTCTTAAATTTGTCTAAAAATAATTGGATGCCTTAAATTTTTGTGTAGTCCTTTGAACACGAGGGCATCAAGGAACAGTTGTTTTAGCATAAGTTGAAAATACTCTTGTGTGAGGTGGGGTGTATGTGCTTTTAAATATGATAATCTTGAATTTCTTTCACATTCAAGAATTATTAGATTCATTTCATATTTGTAGAATTGTTTTTTAAAGTTTGTATAGAATTGACACTGCACTGATGTAAGTTTTTTTCAAAAATTTCTACTGTCACCAATGTGTAATTTGCATTCCAGAAACTTCTAGAAAATTGACAGAGATAAGGTAAACCTGTTTTCTCTATACTTTAAAATCTTGATATAATGACAGAAAAACACAAGACCACCAAGTGGCAGCTACTGTTTTAACTTTTTCAGATATTTTTTTGAGCAGTACTTTTTAACTTCAGCATGCACAAGAATCTCTTGTGTGTATTTTTGTATTTTTAAAAGACTCACTCTTGTTATCCACGTTTATACTACTAAGAGACATAAAATTTACCACAAATATACTGAATCAGAATCTAATAAAATCTGCATATTTAACAAGTTTTCTAGGTGGTCAGACACTGGCACTGAAAAATACTCAACTATTCAGTGAGAGTTGTATTTTCATATGAAAACTTTAAAAATAGCAGTAGTGATATGAAATGAATGACGCCATATTTAGAGTTGTGCTCTTTTGGGTATTTAAAAATTATATTCTGTATCGGCAGTTCTCAACCTTGGCTGCACATAGAATCAACTGGGGAAATATCAAAGTTCCCTTTGCCAAAGCCACATCCCAGACCAATTAAGTCAGAATTCTGGGGTGCAAGCCAGGCTTCGATGGGCTTTAGAGCTCCCATGTGACTCCAATGTGAAACCAAGGTAAGAGCCATTGCTCTGTTTAGATTTGTAGGCATGGAAAGAATCTTGAGGGATTTTTTTTTTTCAAATATTTAGAGCAAAGGACTTTAAGAAGTCAGAAATCTGAAACCTAACTATACCTACAAGTATAGTGTTTAAGGATTCTGTTAGGTGTTAAAACAGTAAGACCCTCACTTGTCATCCAGGTTCATGCTAAGGGACACATAAAAGAGAATGCCATATAGTGGACAATATTTTCAAGCGGAGTCAAAAGGAAGACTTTGGTCCTAATTCCACTGCTGAACAGACCATATCTTATTTTCTACTGATAAGATGCCACACATGAATTTACAATTTACTTGTCTAACCATCACTTACTGGTTGCTTACAGATTCCAGGTCTGTATAATAAGATTCAGGAGCCGAGTGTACCAAGATGACAAGGACACTTTGCTCAAAGACTCTAGGATAGTCATGGTACTTCACATCACAAATGAGATGTCCATCAAACAATCCAAAGAACCAGTGAAATGCTTTTATTCCATTGAAACTTAAGATTTTAATGGTACCTATATAGAAGATACACAAACTCACGTTAGAGGTTTCCTGTCCCTGGAATACCTCACAAAGTATCTCTGTGGTTAAAAAGTTAATTGTTGTATGTACCCAAACTTGTAACATTCTAACTTTGGATAAAGATACAAGAAGGCAGTGCTATAAAAATGTTCAACTCCAGAAGATGAGAGAGTAGCACAGCTTTAATTGCAATAAGGTGAAGGAAATAGTTTTCAAAACAGCTTTGAGAGGGGGAAGAAAGTCATTTGTGAAAGCACAGTACCTAAAATCTGCAGATGGCACAGCTAACAAATAAATCAATTAAAGAATGCAAAGTGTGAACAGAAACATAAATGTGAATTAAAACCATACAAACTTCAAGTTGTATATGAAGCAAGTATTTTAACCACTGGCACTAAAATTTTAAATTGAATTCTCTGATGAAACAGAAAGCTGGTATAATTGCCTGAGTAAAGGGTGGGTTGAGAATTACAGCTGGTGGGGAAGAAAATAAATGTGCTCTGTGTTTTGAATAGACAGTAAAAGTATGACAGATGAATAGAAAGTGCTTGCCAAAGTACCAACAATAGTCCAGGTGAGAAATAACTAAAGCATAAAACAGTCTCCATGGCAGAACTTGAATTAAGTAGTAACAAGTTTTTCTCCCATGATTCTCATCTTGATGGAGTCCTACATGTGGTTTGATCTTACCAATCCATACAAAGTTGGAGACAGTCTGATGCCCTAGTGAAGTCAAAGAGTTTGGGGTGTTTCCCACAGGTACTAGTTCTGTTTTGAGCATTCATTTTCTTCTAGATCTTTAAAAGATTTTGAAACCAATATTTTTAATCAATATTGGATGATGTCTTCACTTGGTTGTAGTACTTTCTGTATGGAGGCGGGGGGAGTGGGAAAGGGTCTTCTCCTTTCAGATAGTGGGCAGCAGTGCCACCTTGGCTGAAAAAGGTCTCACTCTCACCTATGGTTGAGCCCTGAAGAGTGGGCATGAGTTTGAACTCTGGAAACTTTGTACCTGGATCCCAGCTCCACTGCTTCCAGCCATTTCCTGGAGAAAATTTTCAGCTTGCTTATGCCTCAACTTCTTCTTCTGTAAAAGGGACAAATCCTGTGTTATTACATGGGTTTTGTTTTTAAACAGCTCTGCAATAAGCTAAATATTTTAAATCTACTGATGCCTTAAGTAACAAGCAACTCCATCTTTTGCAGGGATGAAATGAGATAAAGGATTGCTAGTCAGGCACTCTACCACTTGAACTTCTCTGCCACCCTTTTTTGTGTTGGGTATCTTCGAGACAGGTTGTCATGAACTGTTTGCCCAGGCTAGCCTCAAACTATGATCCTCCTGATCTCTGCCTTCCGTAGGCATGAGCCACTGAAGCCCAGCTAAGAGTTTGGTATCTTGCCTCCAGAGAAGAAGGGACTTACAGATGTCAGATGTAATTATCTACACTTAAATCAAAACCAAGGATCTTAACAAACAAATTCATCCTCATTGATTTCCCTCTTCCCACAAGCCAGATCTCCCTTCAGCTGCCCTCTTAGAAGTGGCACCCAAGTGTCACCACTCACAGGGGAGCTTGAAAAATTCAGATGCAGTTG